TGGGTACCAAACATGGGCTAAATATATCATTACAGTTTCTTAGATATATGTCACTGTTTGGTAGGAATTAAAATCTAGATTTTAATCTAATCAAAGCCAACAATTGATTTTAACTATATATTTTATGGGACACAACTTTTGTTCAGTCATTAACTCAATTTTGGCCAGCAAATAAGACCGAGGGAATTATTGTTCATGCATTAACTCAATTTTGGCTAAGGCTAACAAAAATATTTTTTTGATTAAAATTAATTGTTGATTTCACTTTAGATTTTTATCAAAATTTTAAATTGGTTCTAAGTATAGGTATTATGTAATTATTTTCTAATTATTATGTAAGCAGATAATTTTATACTATATAAGGAGTTATTTTAAAAATAAATAACTTGTTTACTCTTACTTTGTTGAGGTGGATTCTGAGGACATATCCATGAGGAGACTTGAGGCTTGTTTTACGTAAATTTTTTTCTTTAAAATCATTTTTGACTACACATTTTATAAAATCCGTAATTTTTCTCCCCTTTTCAAACATATTTAAAAAATCAAAAAAAAAAAAAAAAATTCCCATTTGAAAAATCGTATCAAACTAGCTTTTAATATTATTCTTTTGATATGTTTATTATAGTTTGAGAACCAAATTCGGGGATGTAGCTCAGATGGTAGAGCGCTCGCTTAGCATGCGAGAGGTACGGGGATCGATACCCCGCATCTCCATTTTCTAATTTTAACTTTATTTGTACTGATTTGGGCTGGATTTGGAGTTTTTGACTATAATTTTTTGCTCGGTCCTGAAAGTCCAATCTCTTCTTCCAAGCAAGGCCCAGTACTAATTGATTGGTGGCTTGTGTTTCGAAATGATCATACTTTTAGTTTTCATTGTGTGAACTGTCTTCAATATTTCAAAATTATAAATTAATGGGAAAATTACCAAAAATCACGCATTAAGTTTGTTCTTTTAAAAAATCAAATTTTCACGTTTTTTTTTTACATTTATCAGGTTTTTATCTTATTTTTTTTAAAAATATTTTTTTATCATTTTAATTAAATAATTAATCATTTAAAACCCTAATTTCTCATTTCATCCCACACCCCCTCCCAATCGTTTCTCTCTCTTCTCCCCTTCGACCCTTCTCCTTCGTGCCGGAGCGTCGAGAGTAGTGATCAACGCTGCTGTTACAGCACAACTGTGTACGACGCTGTTGCCGACGTCGACGCTGCTGTGAATCACAGAGTGTGGCGTATCTGAGCTGTTGGTAGCTATTGTGGATGATGGGTAGGTGGATTTTCTGTGGATGTGGCTGATGGGTGGGTGGATTTGCTGTGGGTGTGGTTGTAAATGGTACATGCGGTTGCTGCAACTGTTGGTGTGGCTGTGGGAAGCTGTGTGTGTGTGGCGATCCGTGTGGTGTAACTGTTGTGGCAATGGTTGTGTGGTGTTGTGGCAGGGTCGACGGCGGCAGTGGTATTTTTCTTGGTGTGGTGTACGGGCGGCGATGGGATGGTTTTTTTTTTGTTATTATTATGGTGGTGATTGTGGTGGTGTTGTGATGGGGTGACGATGGTGGTGCTGTTCAGGCGGCGACAGTGATTGTTTGGGTGGTGATGGTTGGTGGTGTTATTATTGGTGGGTGTTGTAGGGATTAGGGTCGGCGGCGAATGTGACGAATTATCCGTAACCAACTATTTGGTCGTTCTATGACCTGTGACAAAGTATTGTTGGTGTATTGGGATTGGAGGATGGATACGACTGATGGGTCGAAGTGTCTGTGACCATCTATTTGGTCGACCTGTGACCTGTGATCTGTGACCATCCATTTGGTCGATCTGAGACCTCGAAATAATATGTAACCTACAAAATTTTTTATTTGTGACTCATAAAAAAATTGTGACCTAAAAATTTTTGATCTGTGATTTCGACATAATTCGTGACCTGTAAATTTTTTTATCTGTGATCGGAG